CAGTGGCGGTGGGGCTGTGATGAACTGAAGAGGATGTGCTCTCTGAGGCTGCTCACCTCCAACCACTTGTTCCTGTGTGAGCCTGTCAGCTCAGTGCTACCAGATCTTCTGAGTTTTCAAGAGCAGCCAGAAATCTGGGTGCCGTCCCTATAAGACTTTCCAATTTTTAAAACATTGGGAAGGTCAAACAAAACACATCTGCCAGCTTATTTAGCCTGTGGGCTGCTAACCTGTGACCACGGCCCTCTACAGCTCATTACTTCTGTACCAGTGTGAATCACTGGTTCCAGTGTGGTGTGGCTTTGCCCCATCCTGCCAGCTGCCCTGTCTTTTTAGGCCTGGATGTTTCCCCATCCTTCCTAAAGACCCTCCCTACCACCATCCCTCCTCATTAAGTCTCACTCAGCCTTCACTTTCCCTCCCACTTTCTGGGCTTCCTCAGTCCATTCTTTCATTTAACACATGTTATTGGTGCTTAGTATGTGCCAGGCACTCTTTTAGACATAGATTTATAGGAAGGCAAAAACCCTACTCTTATGGAGCCCAAATTCTAATCTTCCTTGGTTTCTGTTTGCCCTTGAATCCACGAAACTTGCAGGGAACTCAAAGTTTGACCACACCCTGGCACCTAGGGGCAGTAATAGATCCTTAGTGGTTATGTAGGAAGATTGTAATTTTCACTGAAACATGGAGCCTTCGTGGCCTTTTTTTTTTTTTTCTTCTGGTTTCTATGACAGTTTGGAGCATACAAACATCAGAAAAACTCATTTTAAAACTTGAGCAGGTCAAAGATGGCAGAAATAATTTTAAGGTGAAAAGAATGCTCTTATGTAGTTATTCTAAACTTTAAGGAACATCGTCGACCACAATAGCTTAGTTTTTGCTCCTGTTAAAAGCAAGTAAATTGTTTCAAAGTAGGTGTGTGTGTACCTAGTGTAAAAGAAGTCAGTGTGGGCATTTGTATCAAAATTTGCCTACCTCTTTATGAAGGAGGCTTATTCCTCACACCTCAGTTTATCTAATGTGAGGCAAGTTTAAAAACAACACTCCCATTCTATGTGATTCTGTGATGCCATGAAAACTATATATATAAAAGCCTAATGGATCGAATGACTGGCTGCTATGACACACACTGACCACCACGGGGCAGATGCTTAATGCAGGAGCTGCCACCTGGTGGTCAGTGCGCTCCCACAGCCAACCTCCCGCATCTGGCCAACCTCCCGCGGTCCCTCACCTGGCTGGTCGAGCGAGATGGCCCCGATTGCTGGCCAGGCCGAGGGACCCCCCACCCATGCACAAATTCGTACACCAGGCCTCTAATTTTAAATAATTTCAGAAAAAGAATTGACTTTGAGTACAAGTCACATCTTTGAGCTTGATTATCAATGTGGTAACTGACTAAAACTTAGAAAATAATGTTCCTAACCACTTACAATTTCTAGCATTTCTCTGAGAGATCATTTGGGGGCAATAAAAGTGACTTGACATGTCCAATCTCATTTTAGAATAAAAGGCAGTTTCTTTAAAATGTTTAGATTGCTTTCCTGCAGGTTATGAGTAAGAAATATTGTGGGGAAAGGATTCTTTTTAAAGGATTGCTTTTTATCAATCTAGGCCTTGCCTGTAAAGAACAAAAGGTGGGTTTTACATACTTTTTGTGGAATGTGTTTAAAGTATTGACTCTAGGACCTTTGTATATTCGATAGTATTTCTAACTTTCATTTCTTTACTGTTTTACGTTAGTGTTCATGTTCTGATATGCAACCATTTCATATGCATGTTTCCTCAAATTTTTTTAGATTTTTCTGGATGTATAGATTAAACAACAAAATGTCTATTTAAAACTGTCGCAGTACTTTCCAGTTCTAGGAAAGAGGAAAGTTGTGGGGTTAAACTTTGTATTTTCTTTCTTATAAAAGCTTCTTAAAAGGTAATTTTAGACGTTCTTTTTAACTAATATTATGTGCAACCTTTAAAACATCAATGTTTGAATGAAAACAAGATCCAGCTTGTTTTCTGTTTGCTGTAAATTAAGCAAACATGCTATAATAAAAACAAAATGAAGGGGGGAAAAGATTAGATTCAGGTTTTGCATTTTGGGAGAGATATCTCAGAAGTGCATCCTATAGGTGGCATACAATTTTAATTTGTCCTATCATGGTGATGTTAATCTTCAATACTAGATTAAAATGGCATTTGCTGCAAGCTTTCTCTACTATAGTTACTCTATTTTGCTTCGTACTCCAACAAGTGTTTTATGGAGAGTTATTTTGAGATTGTGGAAGTATTCTGTTCCTCATCAAACATTCACCCACTAATTTTAACATTCATTGATATTTCTTGGCTGAATTTATTATTACTGTGATGGTTGACAAATAGTGATTTTCTAATTCCATCATTCTATCGACATTCATCAATTGACTTTCCAATGTAAGGATGTCTATCGATCTATACAAAACAGGTTTACTTGAATGACTACCTCCACTTTCTCTTCCAACCCTTTCCTACTCTCCCTCTGTAGGGAACATCATCATCATTCATTTCTGATTTATACTTCTTGTGATTCTTTTTGCAAAAATAATCTGATGCATGCACTTTTATTTACCTCATTTCTCACACATATACAATAAATTTTCAACTTACTTAAAAAATATTTTTATTGATTTCAGAGAGGAAGGGAGGAGAGAGAGATAGAAACATCAACGATGAGAGAGAATCATTGATCGGTTGCCTCCTGCACATACCCTACTGGGGATCGAGCCAGCAACCCAGGCATGTGACCTGACCAGGAATTGAACAGTGACTCCTGCTTCATAGGTTGAAGCTCAACCATTGAGCCACATGGGCCGGGCTCAACTTACCTTTCTAAAGTTTAACTTAATATCCTAGAAATCATGTCTTTCAGTATTACTGTAAAGAGTTCTTCCTTATTTTTCTTAGTAATAGCTTTTTTGAGATATAGCTCACCAGACAATTCACCCACTTACAGTATATAAATCAATGGTTTTTAATATATTCAGAGTTGTGTGACCATCACCACAAGCCATCCTAGAACATTTTTATCACCCCCGAAAGAAACTCTGTACTCTTTAGCAGTCACTCATCATCCCTCCAATTCCACAAACCCTAAGAAACCACCAATATATTTTGTCTCTATAGTTTTTGCCTATTCTGGACCTTTTTTAAAATGAAATCATACAATGTGTAGTCCTTTGTAACTGACTTTTTATTTTATTTATTTTTTTTTTTCATTTTATTTTATTTTATTTTAATCTATTTTTTGTTTTTTGTTTTTTATTCAGAGTTGTGTGACCATCACCACAAGCCATCCTAGAACATTTTTATCACCCCCGAAAGAAACTCTGTACTCTTTAGCAGTCACTCATCATCCCTCCAATTCCACAAACCCTAAGAAACCACCAATATATTTTGTCTCTATAGTTTTTGCCTATTCTGGACCTTTTTTAAAATGAAATCATACAATGTGTAGTCCTTTGTAACTGACTTTTTAAATGTTTTCAAGCTTCACCCATTTTGCATCGTGTATCAGAACATCTATTCTTTTTATTGCCACATATTCCATTGTATGGATATACCCCATTTTGTTGCTTTTTTTTTTTTTTGGAGATGGACACTTGAGTCGTTTCCACTTTTTAGCTATTACAAATCATGCTGCTATGAATATTCTTATACAAGTTTTTGTATGGACAAATTTTTTTCAGTTCTCTTGGCCATATACTCTAGGAGTGGAATTACTGGATCATCTATGTTTAATTTTTTTGAGGAACTGCCAGACTGTTTTTCACAGTGGCTGCACCTTTTTACAATCCCCCCTGAATGTATGAGTGTTCTGGTGTCTCCACACTCTTGCCAACATTTGTTATCTGACTTCTCGACTACAGCTATCCTTCTGGGTATAAAAGGGTATCTCACTGTGGCTTTGATTTTCAGATGCCTGGTGATTCCTCCTGCTCTTCGACTGCAGCATAGCACTTCTTTGTGTGGGTGCACCATAATGAGCAAGGCAATTTCTGGGAGTTTTTTGCCCTCTTAGGAGTTCATTGACCAGTAGGAGAGACAGACTGTTAAACGAATAATTAGAACATATTGCTGGTGCCCTGGCTGGTTTTGCTCAGTGGATAGAGCGTCGGCCTGTGGACTGAAGGGTCCCCGGTTAGATTCCGGTCAAGGGCACATGCCCAGGTTGCAGGATCGATTCCAAGTAGGGGGCGTGCAGGAGGCAGCCCATCAATGATTCTCATCAATGATGTTTCTATCTCTCTCTCCCTCTTCCTTCCTCTCTGAAATCAATTATTTACATATATGAACATACTGCTGGTAAAATTAGTTATGCAAGAACAGGGCACTCCTGAAGTAGAAAAGGGGGAGAAACTCACTCTAACTCGGAAGTGAAAGGCTTAAAAAGGCATGATTCTGAAAGGATAACTTGGAAGTGGATAGAAGAGCCTTTGAGAAGGCAGAGAAACATCAGAGAGCTTAAGGAGATACACCTTTTCTTCTCTACATCACATGCTATTTATGAAAGTGAATTTTTTTCTGTGCAGCTAATTTTTATTTTCCTAACAATACAGGAAGTCAGTGAAGGACTGGCAGGAACCTAGCATATTATGTGGTCATGTTGGCATGCCCAAAAGTAAAGGCACAATGAAACAAAACATTGACTGCCATTATATATCTAAATTATAATTAAATACCTTGCAATCCATGCCAAGTTTTTTTGTGTGTGGGCATAAATACATAATGATAATCTATATTTATTTTGCTGGCATCTGACCTTAATGAAATAAACTTGGTCTGTTTTCATTTCCTTAATCAGCTTCCAAATGCCTGCTAGGTAAGCCACAAGTTGCCTGGTGAATCTATGGGAAGAAGAGTAGAGTCTTGATGTATTCCCAGCTTGCATGTGGCTGGCTTGGCTCAGGGAACCTGCATCTCATCAGGTGGACTCACTCCTCCCTTTCTTTTCAAGGGATCTGTGTAGGTGCCAGGTCCGGACTATTCAGAGCCAAATTCATTCTGTCACTAGCCCAGGTGCCTGGTTGTACAGGAAGAGATCTGGTTCCTAGTCTGGTTTCCAAGCCTTTCTTTTTGGACCAGCTGTAGGCCTTTGCCTAGTTTATCATGGTCCTCTGACTCTACATAGGGACTATGTGGATGGGTGAGGTCAGGGATAAACAGAAATGCCAATCCCAGTTCCTCTGGCCCTGCTGACCCTTTTGACCATAAACTGTTCATTATTTCAGATTTCCATTTTCAAATTCTGCCAGGATGGTGTTTGCTAATTCCTAGTGTTGACACTGGCTTAACCAGAAGGACACAGAATCCTCTTGTTTCCTTTAGTTCGGCACTTCCTGACCCCAGAACTAACAAACCCTGGGATGAGATTGTTTCATTCAATCTACTTCTGATGGATATGACCCCAAAAGACCCCAAAACCACTAGTTAAAACAGAGCAAGGAATTGGAAATGGAGGTAGTTAGGGACAGGAAACAATGTTTCATTTCTCTGTAGTGTGCACTTTTTTCTTTACGAAGTATACATATTACTTTCATGAAAAAGAAGACAAAATAAATTCACTGTGCATTCTAGCCTGGAAAGTCAGCTCTTCATTCAGATCAGGTTAGCATCAAACCCTCTGGGTGGCTTTCTTCAGAGGGCAGCAGCAGGACTCTTTCCTCTGACTGTTAACACTTGCCTTTTCTTGTACTTAACTTTAAGACCTTCTGTACCTTTTCCACTTATCAAATTAAAAGCTAAATCATAAGTATCCAAAACTTGTAAAAACTCTACTATAAGTAGATAGTTAGACAGGTAGTACACTAAAATTATAAGAGCTGAAGCTATATATAATGCAATAGAATCATGGCAAGGCTGCTGATACATTCTCTTGTTATTGCAGTTTATAGTTACGATGTGATGAGCACCTGTACAAAGCAGATGTACCTGAACCTTGCCGGACACTTAATGGAGGACAGCTCTATGGGACTGTGGGAGCAGGCTCACTCAAACAATTTCATATGAGTGATCCTGAGCTGGTCCTAACTTTTTTTGAGCAGAGCTATAAAGTCATAGTTAGCTTATAAGAAGTTTGAATAATTGCTCCAAGATGGGCGAAGTTTTATTCCATGTCGTTCAAAAAACCAATTTAACCTAACAGCTCAAATTAACATATTGTGGTCTTTGACACACACGCGTGCACGCGCGCACACACACACACACACACACACACACACGTGTTGTTATTTTACAGTTTTCAAATGAATAGGGTACATATTTATGTTCTGACATGGAAAATGCTCATGAAAAACTGGGTAAAAGTTGCAGGACAAGGTATATAATATGATTCCATTTTTATAAAAATGAATCAAACAAATCTATATGCATCTGTAAAAAATAATCTATTACTTAGGGAAGTAAACTGAGAAATTGAGCCTTCTACTTATATTTTATACAATTCTGTGTTGCTGAATTTTTAAAGTATCACTTTTGAAAGAGAACAAGAGCGATTTTTTAAAAAAATAAAAATATGTCCCCTAGTCGGACATTTGACACCACAGGAAGTCTTGATCACTTAGATCCAAGCCACAAGGCGGTGCTGTTGGACTTTGGATGAATCACTGCACCAGCACCTCAGTTTCCTCCTCTGTAAAATGAATCACAAGGCAGCGGTGGAGATGTAGCCTTGAGAGTTACTTTTGTGTCCTGGGAGCCTGCCTTTAATAATTCTAAATCTGAAGGGGGTTTGAGGAAAGATGAGACCAAAGAATCCTTCTTCTCATTGACTGTATTTATGAAACCAGAACAAAGAATGCAATGCTTAATTTCCTCCTTTGCTCTAAGTCTCCACTCACACTCATTTAAATGCTGGAGGAGGAGGAAGCCTGGAAGTCAGGTTTGTCGGGTCACCCTCTCTTTAAAGAATCTGATGAAAATCATGCACCTTAATCCCAGAGAACTGCTTGGATGGCTGAATTTTCATAGAATTCCTAGAGATGTTCAGGTCCAGATTAAGGACGCTTCACTGCTTTAATTTAATTGCTTTATTTTATTGAGGAGGAAAAAATGGTCCAAAGAAATCAAGGCCGCAGAGCCAATAGGGAGACTCAACCCTATTTCCTCACTCCTCTGCACATCTGCAACCAGCAGGGAACCAGGTGACCAAAGCCCTGGAAACAGTGGTGGTGCCTGTCGGGAAGGGGATGCTCTCTCACTTGAGCTTCTGCCTTGTGGCTGCATCCCCACTTGAAGTGTCAGGTTATGTATGTAGTTAAAATTAGGAGTGGTCTTTAAAAATCAGTTAAAGATTTTTTAAAAATATTTTTTATTGATTTCAGAGAGGGAGGGAGCGATAGAAACATCAATGATGAGAGAGAGAATCATTAATCGGCTGCCTCCTGTCTGCCCCACACTGGAGATCGAGCCCACAACCCGGGCATGTGCCCTTGACCGGAATAGAACCTAGGTCCCTTCAGTTCGCAGGCCAACACTGAGCAAAATCGGCTAGGGCAGTGGTCGGCAAACTGCGGCTCACGAGCCACATGCGGCTCTTTGGCCCCTTGAGTGTGGCTCTTCCACAAAATACCACATGCGGGCGCGCATGTACAGTGCAATTGAAACTTCGTGACCTGTGCGCAGAAGTCGGTATTTTGTGGAAGAGCCACACTCAAGGGGCCAAAGAGCCGCATGTGGCTCG